CCCGCCGCCCCCAGGCCCCGCCCACACTGGCCCACAGCATCAAGAAGCTGGCGCACCAGCACAGGTAGAAGGCCACCAGGTAGGATACCTGTGGCCGCGGGGGCAGCGTCTCACAGTTGACTGCAAAGAGCGTCAGGCTGAGGAGAATCAGGAGTCCTGCACTGAGGTGGGGCCAGAGACGGGCAGAAGGCCCAGGGACCCCCGTAAGAGAAGGGGAGACGTCCTCTCCCACCGGCCACAGCAAGCAGAGAGAAGCACACGCACACGCTCCAAAGATACTTGAAGGAGAGGGAGGGAAACTGGAAAGTGCGAGACCCGCCCCCACACCCCTTCACCTGAGAACTCAAGCAGACCTGGGGTACACACAGGGAGAGGGGGACAGGTACCCCAAGGGACAGCCCAAGGCAGGCCGGCAGACAGCAGGGCGGCAAGTCTGAAAGCCGGGCTGGGCTGGGGCCTTGCCGGTACTTACCTATGCTGATGCTGAGGGAGCTGAAGACAAGGTCGATCTTGCTCAGACGGCGGAAGGTGGGCCGGAAGGAGAGGCCCATGGTGGGGAGGAGGACGAGGCACAGGGCCAGGGCCAGCAGCATAAAGCCCTTGCTCATGTGGATGAGCACTGGACGGAGGGGCACAAATGTCCCCGAGTCATTGCCAGACACCCTTGTGACTCCAAACTCACCCCCGCTGGCACCCACAGTCCAACAGACACCCCAAAAGCCTGGCTGCAGAGATCAAAGTCACTTCCCAGAAATCTTAAAATCATTCTCATGAAATCACCCCCAAGGCACCCCTAAATTCAACTCAAAGTCATCTACACTCGGGACCAGCAGATGGCATAATGGCTATGTCGCTGGACTCCCATGTAGTTGACCACAGTTCGAGTACCAGACCTGGCAGCTTTAACACACCAGGCGTGTGTGCGTACGTGCCCAAGATCCCAAGAGAATGGAAGAGAAGGGATTGCGGAGTGGCCATCTCCCCTGGGGGGGGGGGTGATTTCTTGCTTTCTGTCTCTTTGTCTCTGTCTGTCTTTCTGGCGAGCACATGTACCCTATAGCACACATGCCCTAGAGCACAAACCTCTCAAAAAAGTCATCTACATTCTCAAAGTTGTCCCAAATCAACCCTGGTTACCTCAAACTCATCCCCTGACACTCCCACACTCAGCCTCACGTGTACCCCCCAAGGTCACCCCACAGATGACTTCCCTGCATCTCCCCCACACACATCCTAAGGTCACTCCAAGAACCACTTCGATCGGTCCTCGAGTCACCCTTATAAACACCCTCAAGTCACCCTGTTTGCTCACAGTCCTAAAAGATGTCCCACAGCAGCTGTCGTTGGCACAGGTTCAGTCCCGGGCAGCCCCCGTCATCTCCAAAGTCACTGGACCCCTGTCGTGTTCTGCCAGTCACACACCAAGACCCTCTAGTGACCCCATTTACATGGCTAGGACATACCCTGACATCCCAGAATCACACAGGACCTCCGGCAGGTGCACACACGCACAGATGTACGCAAGAAAAACTTCCAAATCAATTGCTCTAAAACCAACATGCCCCAAAGAGCAACTCCAGCTTCTAATTAATATTTTTTGTTGTTAAAGAATTATTTTTTAATTTAATTTTATTTATTCATCCATTTACTTTAATTTGACCAGAGAGAGAGAGAGAGAAAGTAAGAAAGCAAGCCACCAGGTCCAGCACTCAAACTATGGTCAGCCACGTTTTAACCACCACGCCACCTGCTGGTCCCCTGTAATTGACAGTCGTCGTGTTGACATTTCTAGCTCTTTGTGAGAATTGCGACACCTCCTAGCCCCTTTTCTACCTTGTCTGCTTTCTTGTTTTCAGGTTTTTGCCATAGGGCGTGTGCACTCACTGGCAAGAGACAGAGAGAGGGGAAGTGAGAAATCACGCCTGGGAGATGGCCACCTACAAGCCCTTCTCCTCCCTTCTCCTGGGATTGTGGGTAGGCACACACACGTGCCCGATGTGATTTCTCAAGCCACCAGATCCAGGGTTCAAACCACAGTTGGCCATGTGGGAGTCCAGCACCGCAGCCACTACACCACCTGCCGGCCTACCCTCTCGTGCTCAGACAGCCCATGAACAGGTACTAACAGGTACTACTGTCACTGCCATCTTAGACACGAGGGGACAGAGGCACAGAGAAGCAGAGGGATGTCCCCAGTGTCATCCGGCTACCAAACGGCTGGGCTGAGATTCGAACCCAGGCACTCTGGCTCCAGGCTTTGGGCTGCCTCTTAAAACACCAGGAACCCACCAGGAGGCAAACGTCTTTGAAGGAGCTGACAGGCCCTTGTCACTTAAAAAATTACAGTAAGCTTGTAAAAAGAGAGAGAATGCCGGCATCCTCAGCCATCTCTTCTCCAGGGAGAGCCTTTGGCCCCTTGTGGTGTCCCTGTCCCATGGCCACATAGAACTCCAGGGAACTCCCTCACCAGGCCTCGAGACTCTCCACAAGCCTCCAAAGACTCTTAATGATCTCCCCAAGAACATCCAAAGAGACTCCAGAGAATTGCAGCCCTGACCGTCTCCGGAGACCCTGAGCGCCCAGAGCCGGCCCAGGTGCCCACTCACCCGTGACCTGTCTCAGGCTGGCACACTGATACCTCCCGCAGTCTGGCCAGAAGCCCAGGTAGCCGGTGTAGGAGCCCTGCACGTAGGCCATGCGGCCCTCCATCACGCTGCAGGTCATCAGGGTCGCGAGGGTGCTGAAGACGAGAGACCAGCCCCGCAGGATGAACTTGCGGTCCTCCTCCCAGGGAGAGTCTAGCTCTGCTGGAAAAGAACAGCGTTCGGGCCGCATCGCTCTCCAACACTTGGTTGCTTCTTCAGTCTCCGTTCCCCACCACCGCCGCCTCCCCATCTGTTCCTGTCCCGTCCCCTGCTTTAACCTCCAGCACCATCCACAAGCCGTCCTATTCACATTGTTCTCCCCACCCTGAGCCCCAAACACAACCCCACCCCCACCTCCGACTCCCAGGAACCCGCCTTTCCCTAACTCCAGTGCCCAACCCATCCCCTGCCGGTACTCCCACCTTAAGCCCAAAGCTATTCGTCTTGTCCAGCCCTATCCTGCAGTCCCTCTTCCCCAGACCTTGGCTCCATCTTCCCTCTCAGCCTCATCCCATCGCCATCTCTGTCCCAAATCCCAATCTGGGACACAGGGAATGGCCACATAGCTTCCAAAGTATGTTCAGGAGGGCAAGAGCCATGGTGTCAGAAGGCACACCGTGACACAGCCTAGACCTGTGATCCTGTCAGCCACCCCGTTGCCATCCCAAGGCCTGTCCTTCCCATGACTTGCTCACCTCCGTTCACACTAGGCTTCACCAGGGCTTCCCTCAGGGATCCACCTGCCAGGGATGTGCATCTCCTCCTCCTGCCCGCCCACCCTGATCGCCCCTCATGTCTCAACTCCAGTGTCTCTTCCTCTTCCTCTTCCTCTTCCCTGAGCCCAGTCCCCTCCCCACTAGCCTCAGTCTTGGTCAGATGGCCACCCAGGGCTCCTGTATCGCAGTGCACTTTGCTTGTGCTTTTACCTTTTATTTTTTTGGAGAGGTTTTTGCCATAGGGTACATGCACTCACCAGAAAGACAGAGAGACAGAGAGACAGAAAGCGAGAAATCCCCCCCCAGGGGACTGGCCACCCCACAATCCCTTCTCCTCCATTCTCCTCTCGGGACCTTGGGCACGCACGTACATGTGCCCGGCATGAGTTCAAGCCACTGGGTCCAGGACTCGAACCACGGTCGACTACATGGGAGTCCAGCGACATAGCCATTATGCCAACCGCTGGCCCCAGCAGTGCACTTTTCTTTCACTGGCATACCACACACTTGTGTTTAATTGCTTGACTAATTTTTTTTCTTCCAATCTTCCCCAAAAGACTTTCAGGAGAGTCAAAAACACATCTTTTTTTGTACCCCCATTGCCTGGTCCACTGTCTGTGCCGTTTGTTACGTAAAAGGAGCATGAAAGGA